TTTCCAGCCTCACTAGGTACTTTCATGGCACAATCAACTCCACCACTGTTTCTGACCAATCCCACTGCCCGCTGGCAGGATTCTGAATCCGTATCTGCTATCCCGGCCTGAGGGGGTGAGGTCATAAGCTGCCTGGTCATGATGAAGTGATGATTTTGCTGCAAAGCAGTTCATGGTGCTGTTCCCTCTCACATAGCATCATTACCCGCTGCTCACTAATTATCGTGAGCTTACCTCTGGTATGGCATCCCGCAGTTGCTTGCCAATTAGCAGCTGTGATGGGGATGTATCCGAGCCTTGCAGGGGTGTATTCAGGTACTGCATGAGCTCCCTGGCAATGGCATCGGTGTCCAGGGAGCCCCTGCAGGAAATGTTACTTCTTAGTAATCTCTTCACAGACTTGACCGCTGCCTCGACACGCCCATTAGGCTGGGTGTAGTGTGCTGAGGAGATCCTTAAATTGAAGAAGCTTTGTGACTCATGACTGGTGAGGTTTCAGGGATACCCAGTCTCCTGAACCACCGACAAAAAGCAGTGATGAGGCGAGAGCTGGAGGCCTCCCCTGAAATGTGTTCCACCTCCAACCAGCCTTTTAGCCTGTCTGCATAGACGAGGTACATGTTACTGTCTAGCTGGAATAGGTTGGTTTCCGCTTGTTGGAATGGATACTGAGATGGAGGCATGGGTATGAGTCTCTCTGCAGGCTGAGATGGAGCATGCACCTCACAAACTGGGCATTCATGCCACTTTTGCTCCACTTTTGCATCAATTGCTGGCCAGTGTACAAACTGCCTGGCCCTGCAAAGCATTGAATCTCTTCCTTGATGGCCATCATGGAGGTTGCTGAGTACTTTGCGCCTAAGAGAGGTAGGGATGACCAAGCATGGGAACCTCTCATCACTGGTGTACAAGACGAGGTCATCCTGGCATGAGAGGTTTCACATCCTGAAGTACAATCGTAATTGCTCCAGGCCCTGCAGATCAGCCCAGCCATCGTTGATCACGCACTAGTAGTTGATAATCGTTATCTTTAAGGGCTTCCTCTGCGGCTTCCACCGCTGCGCTCACCATAGCTGCACATATTGCTACCTTTACAGCCTCATCAGATTCCTCAGGTGCACTTGGTATGGAAGGATAAGTGCATCTGCAGCACAGTTGGCCTTCCCCTTGACATACTTGACAAGGAAAGTTGTACATTAATGTCCTCTCCTTCAGGTTTAGGATACAGGGGTTGTTTATGTCTTTAGGAGGACTGTCCCAGATGGGGGGAGGGGGGAAGAGGTCAAATTGAGTTAGCTAGCGTAAAGTTTAGGTACGTGTGTTAGGAAACTACCAATATCAGCTATGGCTAGTTGCAATCGTGCATACGGCATTTAATTATGACATTGCACATAGATATGAGTTTGTGAATGTTCAAAGAACACATACCAATATCAGAAAAAATATATATCAGTGATTTATGACAAAATATTTTGTGAAATATATCTAAAAAAAAAGTTTTGTGTCCTTTTACACATGAAATATGTATCCATCAAGACTCCTTGATGATATGTTGTAGCTTACGAAGTGATCTGTATATATACAGAGTATGAAGCACTAATGTTTGATAAAAGCTGTGTCCCACCAGTGTAATGCTGTACTCGGGCTCGCGCTCAGAGGCAGCAGCGAGCCTTGGCCCGCGGGCGGACAGACTCCGGGGCAGCTCCGCCTGCCGATTTTGTAGCCACCCGGAATCTTTTATTTCTGGCTTTAAAACATATTTTGAAGCCGAAAATAAAATATTCCGTGTGGACTCTACTTGCGCGCCAGCCGCAGCCCGCTGCTGCATCGGAGTGCAAGCCCCGATACAGCATCACACTGGCGGGACACCCGGCAATGTTTATTTTTTCAGGTGTCTCATATGTGGGACACCCGTTGTTAGTGGGTTAAAATATTTCTATTAGAATTTGCTCAATGGTCGGTATATTACGGCATCAGTAAATTTGATTTGACTTGAAATTAGTTGTTGCTGCTGTAAAGGGCAATTCAATGCAAAGGGTACCTAAAATTCGGAATTTTGAACTTCATAGATATAAGCGAGATAACGATTATTTCATGTTGAAAATGACAGTACACAGTAATACCTGCTCAGAAATGAAAATTGAATGGAATTTTGAACTCGTTTGTGTGTGCAGCCTTAGTCTAGAGTTGAAAAAGCTATGCATCTGTTTCGTGTGTTTCCGATAAAGAATATTACGTTTAGACGTTACCATAGGTCTTAGGTACCATAAATTCGCAAATATCCAACCACTCCTAGGTGTCTGCATGATTCTGTGCACTTCTTTGTGAAGATAATGGGGGCAAATGGCTAATCGACAACTCGTTTCCCATTGTAATCTGTTACTATTGACAATTATCGAAGTAAACGGTTTGTAGGGTTAACTAATATATTTTATTCCTTTAGATATAAAGATTTATTTAGGCCTACTAAGTGAGGATGATTAATTTTTTAAACTTTGTGCATACATATGATCCTCCTAGAAAATTATAAACGCCCAGTGACCATCCCCCCCCCCCTGTGTGGAGCATGGGAAAAGTTCAACTACTTTGGTAAGACCTCAAATTCCATGTAGTAGATTCATATGCCTTTAAAATTCTCAAAATTGAACCGGCATGTTATATTCATGCTAGGATTTCAAATTTGAAGTTAAAATAAAAAAGGTTTTTACCTGGTTTAGATTAGTTGTTTCTATGGTTCAATGCATTTATTAAACTTTTCAGACAAATATATCTACTTTTATATCCAACAAACAAACAAAAGAAGACATACCTTTACAGAATAGCATCCCTATTGAAAATTATAATTCCGAAGTACATAAAGGGGTCCGTCGCCGTAGATTTTTGACGAATATTTTAAAAAATACTCCAAAAATTGAAAAAAATCTTGTGTAATCTTGTAGGCGTTGGCAATCCACATACGTAATATTTCTGCTAAATACGTAAGAATAAAGGAGTAATGACTAAATATCTGACCCAACCCCCCACCCCCACCCCGCCCTTCGCCTCCCGTTGCGATGTTTACCTTGTCGCCTCCATGCAAATATACTCGACATAATTTTTTTTTTTTTTTCTGATTTTTTTTCTATTTATTTTGGTGTTCTCTGGTATCTAGCTGGCAACTATGTTTACCCATCAGCTGATCGCAAGATGGGAGTCTGGGAGACAAGATGTTGCCATTCTAGGAAACAAATGTTAATAGCTCCTACCTCCACGACACATCTTGCAGAAGTACGCCCTCATTACACAGTAAGGGGACACAACTAATGGTGAATGTTATGTTCGTATATAATAAACAGTATATGATAAGAAATAAATAATCACAGCTGCAGCAATTGTTTATACTTATGAAATACCTCACATGGCCAGGTTAGGCATTGCAATATCTGTGATGACACGCACTAATTCTACAATCATGTGCAGTTATTGCCATAAATACTTTGCAAAAGGGGGGGACCAGGTACCAGCTACACTTTAGAATACCATGTGAATGCTATAGAATGCAGAAAGATTGACGCAGAGATAAGAATTCTTAAAAAGCGAAACAAAACGAAACAAAAAAATTGACGGAAAAGTATCCTAAACTTCGGAGCCCCATATCTGGAAACTATATGTTTGCCAACACTCTTTTATATTTCTCCATAACTGTTTGGAGATTCTAATGGGGTCTGGGTCTTTTGAAAGCTGAATAGATTTGTGATTTTTTACATAATGGATATTTTCATTCACGTAATAGAAGTCCATATATCATATCTTGAGTTCATAGGACTCAGCATTTAGAAAAAAATAATTCCACTGAACTAAAAGGAAATCAAAGATCCCTATGATGGTTAATGGATTAAGTGTGAATATCAAACTTTGTGATTTTTCACAAACTTGTTTTTCTTAAATAACACCGTTGTTTATTATTCAAATGATATGAAATTTGGTGGTGTTTATCAGCGTATATGTATATATATTATGATATAATCATAAATGACGAACTTCGTTCTCGAGTGCGACGGCCGCCATAAGTAGGCTTTTTATTATATATTTATCATCATAAGATTTAGAGAAAAATAACAGAGATAATGAACTTTGGCAAGTGTCCAAAATATAAACTGCCCTATCTCCATTCTTTGTTTGCATGACCTTCGGTACATCACCACGCTCGTAATTTTTGTGCTATTCAAATGCAGTTTGTTGCTTTTGCTAGAGCCTTGGAGCCCTCAGGCTATGTAATAGCCTGATTTTTAAATTTTGGCCTTAAAAAAAAAATTAAAAAGGAAAGTTTTTAATGCTAAAAAAAAAAAAAAAAAAAAAGTATTCTATGTCAACCAGTCTCCCACCAAAAAAAAAAAAAAAGAGGCAATTAAAAAATCAGCCTATTTCATGGCCTTAGGCTAGGATAGATCTAACACATGAACTTTGGGGCGATTGTTCAGAAAAATACTGTGGGAGTGGTGATGTACTGAAGAAGAGTGGTAAAAAAAACTTTTTTTTTTTCTGACTCCCCCACCCCCACCCCATGGGGGTACAAATTCAAAATTATATATGAAACACAGTGCAATTCTATACTCTATATTATGCAAAAAGAATCAATGAGTTATCTCCAACCAATTTTTTTAATGATGAAATGAGTAGGGAAAGGTGGTCATTCCCTGGGACAGTCCCCTTAACCCACTAATGACGGGTGTCCCACATATGAGAGTGCGAAAAAATAAATATTGCCGGGTATCCTGCCAATGTGACGCTGTATCGGGGCTTGCACTCCAATGCAGTAGCGGGCCACGGCCAGCAGGTGGGCGGAGTCTGGGGCAGCCCCGCCCCCGATATTGTAGCCCCCGGGAATCTTTTAGTTTCGGCTTCAAAATATATTGGCGTTAATGGGTTAAGTTCTTTGTCACCGAAGATCTTGGTGAGGGTTTTGTAGTCTGTAACAAAAATTGTCAGTGCAGCCAAGAAGGGGCCCTGTGTCGTAGTACTGGAGCCCTTCTGCCACCAGGTGCTTAATGGACCTGAATATGGTGTCTGGGGTATTATCCCAATACATGCCTTTCCCGGCCGGCTTCTCAGAAGCTCCCTTAAGGGCTCCATCATTGGTGCCACTGCCAGGAAAGGGGCTATCTGGTTAACAAGGCCAAACCGTGACCTTATGTCAGTCAGAGACAGGTGGGATGGCATCACAATGCTTTTGATGAGGTTTTTGCTCAGTTGGTAGTGCTCTCAACCAAGTAGGTACCTTGTAAATTTGACACTTCACCTGCAGAAGCTGAACTTCTCAGGCCTCAGCGTCTCTGAAAGGTCGTATGTGTGCTAGAAGGCCTCTACCACGCTGATATCACAGAGCAGAGTGTCAGTGATGCACTTCAATTTCCTGGGGATGTCAGCTATAAAGTCCAAGTGCTTAGTAAAGGTGTCCTGTGCCACAGTGCCCTTTCGGGTTCTGCAGTAGCAGAACTGTCCCCAGGGGGTGGTGAAGGTTTTTAACTTGCAGCTCTCTTTATCGAGGGGGATCTAGTGGTACCCAGAGAAGACATCAGCTGTTGTTTTGTACATGTGCTTAGGCACGCCTGTGATGAGGTCAAAGGGCAGTCTGGTGTGGTGGGTTTCTTGGAGGCGTTCCATATTAAGATTCTTAAAATCCACTGTTTTGCGTGGCTTCCCATCTTTTTTCGGGCAGCACCACTATGCATGGACAGTATTTAGTTCGTTCCCCTGCAGGCACCTCTTCAGTTATGCCCCTGCCAATGTCAGTGACGAGCTTGTGCCGCACCTCATTGTAAAAGTGATGTGGCACAGCAGCAGATATATATATTACATGTAGCTGCTGCGACATGCGACTTCTCAGGCGGGGCACTGGTTGTTGCAGCCATTGTTCCCACTGTGTTGGCAGTGCCATCGACTTCCTCCTGTACCAATGTGAGCACCATGTGTCCCAGCTTGACATTGGGTACTGGTTGCATCTACTTCTCTAGGATTATGGTCTGTAGGGGGTGGGGGTGGGATGAAAAAGCACTTGTGGAGCCATCTTCATATGAATATAGAATGTCTGATATAGTCTTATCAGCTATGTTGTAGTGCCTGTAGAAGAAAAGGAAATATATCAACCCTGTGAATATGTAAAAGTTTTAAGTTAGAGCAGCTGTTTTTACATCTATGAGGAGAGTGAGATGGGACTGGCAATGATGTTAATATGATTAAGATCTTGCACTTTGCTTTCATTACTGTGACCATTACCTTAATGTTTTTGTTTTTTTCTCTCTCTCACTTTTTCTCTTTTTGACAGACGGGAAGCTACAGCAGAGGGAGAAAATTGGATCTTTACTGGAGAGTACTGGAACAAACGCAAAGAACCAGGTTTTATTAATATGACTTTTGAAAAGTTGTGGTGATTATTTTACAAATATCAAGTACCTAGGTTATAATGTCTCCAAATTGAGGCTACTCTAGGGTTATAAGTTATGCCTTGTAGGACTTAAGATATGTTGTTACAGTTACTGGAAACAAGTAAATCACTGTGATGATGCTGGGAAGTATAAGGCAGATATTCCAGAAGCATATAATATGATAGATATTAAAGAAAATTATTTCTTTGGTATAGATAATTTGTTACAGATGTGATGACTAAAATGAATTTGTTTTTGTGACTAAAGCAGTGGTTCTTAATCTTTTTGAAAAGTGGCCCAAAATTTTGTCTTGACAATTTGAGGTGATCCATATCCTCAACAAACCCGTATATTAGTTCTTTGTCAGAATGTTTAACGATGGTCTAGAATTTTAGGATGGTTAAGGCAAATTATGAAACTATTGATAGCCAGTGTTATTTTATTTGACACAAGCAGTATATAGCACCTCTGTATCCATGAGATACAAAAACAATATTTCTTAGGAAACATGATATGCACTGAAAAATGTAATTTCCAAAAAATATGAGGTTACAGTCTTCAGTATGTGCCTTTTTAGTTTGTGTTTGCAATTTGTGGGGAGAATGACTTGCAGGTGAAGCAGATATAATCCAAGTACAGGGAAAATTGCAATACATATTTGATTAATTTGGGGGGGGGGATCACTCAGAGCCATTCAAATATCTTGGCAATTTTGGGTCATCACCTGTAGGTTAACCAACACTGCTATAAAGGTAGCCTATTATCAGCTTGGCTCGTCCAAAAATCTAATGAATGAAATTGTTTTTTTATTTAGCTTGAGATAGTTCTGTTTCCAGAGCTGTAGAAACAAGTAGAGTCACAAGTGTTCAGTTCCATCAGGTTGTTGTTATAATTGATATTTTCTATGTCTGTTACCTTTTATAGTAACAAAGGTTTGCTTATCAGTGTTCCTGAATGAAACTTCTATGCATATAATAGAAGTAGATAATAAGAAACATTCCCTGCTGAAAAAAACAATTCAGGAAAAAGTTTGACACTGTACACACAGATGTCTTTAAGGTTCCATTGAGATTAAGTCGATATAATGTGAGCACTTTCTCTCTTTCTCTCTCTTTGTGTTATATATATAATTATACTATATATATTATATTATATATATATATATTATATTATATATATATAATATATATCTTATATATAACACAAAGAGAGAGAAAGAGAGAAAGTGCTCACATTATATCGGACTTAATCTCAATGGAACCTTAAAGACATCTGTGTGTACAGTGTCAAACTTTTTCCTGAATTGTTTTTTTCAGCAGAATGTTTCTTATTATCTACTTCTATTATATGCATAGAGTTTCATTCAGGAACACTGATAAGCAAACCTTTGTTACTTAAAAGGTAACAGACATAGAAAATATCAATTATAACAACAACCTGATGAACTGAACACTTTGACTCTACTTGTTTCTACAGCTCTGGAAACAGAACTATCTCAAGCTAAATAAAAAAACAATTTCATTCATTAGATTTTTGGACGAGCCAAGCTGATAATAGGCTACCTTTATAGCAGTGTTTAACCTACAGGTGATGACCCAAATTGCCAAGATATTTGAATGGCTCTGAGTGATCCCCCCCCCAAATTAATCAAATATGTATTGCAATTTTCCCTGTACTGGATTATATCTGCTTCACCTGCAAGTCATTCTCCCCACAATTGCAAACACAAACTAAAAAGCACATACTGACTGTAACATAAAATTACATTTTTCAGTGCATATCATGTTTCCTAAGAAATATTGTTTTTGTATCTCATGGATACAGAGGTGCTATATACTGCTTGTGTCAAATAAAATAACACTGGCTATCAATAGTTTCATAATTTGCCTTAACCATCCTAAAATTCTAGACCATCGTTAAACATTCTGACAAAGAACTAATATACGGGTTTGTTGAGGATATGGATCACTTCAAATTGTCAAGACAAAATTTGGGCCACTTTTCAAAAATTATAAGAACCACTGCTTTAGTCACAAAAACAAATTCATTTTAGTCATCACATCTGTAACAAATTATCTATACCAAAGAAATAATTTTCTTTAATATCTATCATATTATATGCTTCTGGAAATTCTGCCTTATACTTCCCAGCATCATCACAGTGATTTACTTGTTTCCAGTAACTGTAACAACATATCTTAAGTCCTACAAGGCATAACTTATAACCCTAGAGTAGCTCAATTTGGAGAATTATAACCTAGGTACTTGATATTTGTAAAATAATCACCACAACTTTTCAAAAAGTCATATTTAATAAACCTGGTTCTTTGCGTTTGTTCCAGTACTCTCCAGTAAAGATCCAATTTTCTCCCTCTGCTGTAGCTTCCCGTCTGTCAAAAAGAGAAAAAGTGAGAGAGAGAAAAAAAACAAAAACATTAAGGATGGTCACAGTAATGAAAGTGCAAGCATCATATTAACATCATTGCCAGTCCCATCTCACTCTCCTCATAGATGTAAAAACAGCTGCTCTAACTTAAAACTTTTACATATTCACAGGGTTGATATATTTCCTTTTCTTCTACAGGCACTACAACATAGCTGATAAGACTATATCAGACATTCTATATTCATATGAAGATGGCTCCACAAGTGCTTTTTCATCCCACCCCCACCCTACAGACCATAAATCCTAGAGAAGTAGATGCAACCAGTACCCAATGTCAAGCTGGGACACATGGTGCTCACATTGGTACAGGAGGAAGTCGATGGCACTGCCAACACAGTGGGAACAATGGCTGCAACAACCAGTGCCCCGCCTGAGAAGTCGCATGTCGCAGCAGCTACATGTAATATATATATCTGCTGCTGTGCCACATCACTTTTACAATGAGGTGCGGCACAAGCTCGTCACTGACATTGGCAGGGGCATAACTGAAGAGGTGCCTGCAGGGAACGAACTAAATACTGTCCATGCATATGCCCGAAAAAAGATGGGAAGCCACGCAAAACAGTGGAATTTTAAGAATCTTAATATGGAACGCCTCCAAGAAACCCACCACACCAGACTGCCTTTGACCTCATCACAGGCGTGCCTAAGCACATGTACAAAACAACAGCTGATGTCTTCTCTGGGTACCACTAGATCCCCCTCGATAAAGAGAGCTGCAAGTTAAAAACCTTCACCACCCCCTGGGGACAGTTCTGCTACTGCAGAACCCCGAAAGGGCACTGTGCAGCACAGGACACCTTTACTAAGCACTTGGACTTTATAGCTGACATCCCCAGGAAATTGAAGTGCGTCACTGACACTCTGCTCTGTGATATCAGCGTGGTAGAGGCCTTCTAGCACACATACGACCTTTCAGAGACGCTGAGGCCTGAGAAGTTCAGCTTCTGCAGGTGAAGTGTCAAATTTACAAGGTACCTACTTGGTTGAGAGCACTACCAACTGAGCAAAAACCTCATCAAAAGCATTGTGATGCCATCCCACCTGTCTCTGACTGACATAAGGTCACGGTTTGGCCTTGTTAACCAGATAGCCCCTTTCCTGGCAGTGGCACCAATGATGGAGCCCTTAAGGGAGCTTCTGAAGAAGCCGGGAAAGGCATGTATTGGGATAATACCCCAGACACCATTCAGGTCCATTAAGCACCTGGTGGCAGAAGGGCTCCAGTACTACGACACAGGGCCCCTTCTTGGCTGCACTGACAATTTTTGTTACAGACTACAAAACCCTCACCAAGATCTTCGGTGACAAAGAACTTAACCCATTAACGCCAATATATTTTGAAGCCGAAACTAAAAGATTCCCGGGGGCTACAATATCGGGGCGGGCTGCCCCAGACTCCGCCCACCTGCTGGCCGTGGCCCGCTACTGCATTGGAGTGCAAGCCCCGATACAGCGTCACATTGGCAGGATACCCGGCAATATTTATTTTTTCGCACTCTCATATGTGGGACACCCGTCATTAGTGGGTTAAGGGGACTGTCCCAGGGAATGACCACCTTTCCCTACTCATTTCATCATTAAAAAAATTGGTTGGAGATAACTCATTGATTCTTTTTGCATAATATAGAGTATAGAATTGCACTGTGTTTCATATATAATTTTGAATTTGTACCCCCATGGGGTGGGGGGTGGGGGGAGTCAGAAAAAAAAAAAGTTTTTTTTACCACTCTTCTTCAGTACATCACCACTCCCACAGTATTTTTCTGAACAATCGCCCCAAAGTTCATGTGTTAGATCTATCCTAGCCTAAGGCCATGAAATAGGCTGATTTTTTAATTGCCTCTTTTTTTTTTTTTTTTGGTGGGAGACTGGTTGACATAGAATACTTTTTTTTTTTTTTTTTTTTTTTAGCATTAAAAACTTTCCTTTTTAATTTTTTTTTTTTATTAAGGCCAAAATTAAAAAATCAGGCTATTACATAGCCTGAGGGCTCCAAGGCTCTAGCAAAAGCAACAAACTGCATTTGAATAGCACAAAAATTACGAGCGTGGTGATGTACCGAAGGTCATGCAAACAAAGAATGGAGATAGGGCAGTTTATATTTTGGACACTTGCCAAAGTTCATTATCTCTGTTATTTTTCTCTAAATCTTATGATGATAAATATATAATAAAAAGCCTACTTATGGCGGCCGTCGCACTCGAGAACGAAGTTCGTCATTTATGATTATTCATAATATATATAATATACGCTGATAAACCACACCAAATTTCATATCATTTGAATAATAAACAACGGTGTTATTTAAGAAAAACAAGTTTGTGAAAAATCACAAAGTTTGATATTCACACTTAATCCATTAACCATCATAGGGATCTTTGATTTCCTTTTAGTTCAGTGGAATTATTTTTTTCTAAATGCTGAGTCCTATGAACTCAAGATATGATATATGGACTTCTATTACGTGAATGAAAATATCCATTATGTAAAAAATCACAAATCTATTCAGCTTTCAAAAGACCCAGACCCCTTTAGAATCTCCAAACAGATATGGAGAAATATAAAAGAGTGTTGGCAAACATATAGTTTCCAGATATGGGGCTCCGAAGTTTAGGATACTTTTCGTCAATTTTTTGTTTCGTTTTGTTTCGCTTTTTAAGAATTCTTATCTCTGCGTCAATCTTTCTGCATTCTATAGCATTCACATGGTATTCTAAAGTGTAGCTGGTACCTGGTCCCCCCCTTTTGCAAAGTATTTATGGCAATAACTGCACATGATTGTAGAATTAGTGCGTGTCATCACAGATATTGCAATGCCTAACCTGGCCATGTGAGGTATTTCATAAGTATAAACAATTGCTGCAGCTGTGATTATTTATTTCTTATCATATACTGTTTTTTTATATACGAACATAACATTCACCATTAGTTGTGTCCCCTTACTGTGTAATGAGGGTGTACTTCTGCAAGATGTGTCGTGGAGGTAGGAGCTATTAACATTTGTTTCCTAGAATGGCAACATCTTGTCTCCCAGACTCCCATCTTGCGATCAGCTGATGGTAAACATAGTTGCCAGCTAGATACCAGAGAACACCAAAATAATAGAAAAAAAAATCAGAAAAAAAAAAAAAAAAATTATGTCGAGTATATTTGCATGGAGGCGACAAGGTAAACATCGCAACGGGAAGGCGAAGGGCGGGTGGGGTGGGGGGTTGGGTCAGATATTTAGTCATTACTCCTTTATTCTTACGTATTTAGCAGAAATATTACGTATGTGGATTGCCAACGCTACAAGATTACACAAGATTTTTTTCAATTTTTGGAGTATTTTTAAAATATTCGTCAAAAATCTACGGCGACGGACCCCTTTATGTACTTCGAATTATAATTTTCAATAGGGATGCTATTCTGTAAAGGTATGTCTTCTTTTGTTTGTTTGTTGGATATAAAAGTAGATATATTTGTCTGAAAAGTTTAATAAATGCATTGAACCATAGAAACAACTAAATCTAAACCAGGTAAAAAACCTTTTTTATTTTAACTTCAAATTTGAAATCCTAGCATGAATATAACATGCCGGTTCAATTTTGAGAATTTTAAAGGCATATGAATCTACTACATGGAATTTGAGGTCTTACAAAGTAGTT